CTTTTAGGACTTACTTTTCGTCGTGTATGCCTTGGAATCTCTGGTACCATATGAACTTGAAGGGAGTCCATTATCTAAATAGCTTTATTGAGAAACTGGCAATTCCCTGTTTTGCCATAGAATATTGAAAATGAAGCAGGATTATTTTATAATGCATTAGATGCGATCATGTAGCATTATTTTGAGACCATCTCTTTATCTTCTGTCCCTTTATCTGAAAAAAATTATTTAACCATCCCCTTTATAATCTCATCACTTCATTTCTGCATCGTGATGCCTCAATGTTAGTGTCCCACGGGCATTGCATTAAATACCAGCGCTCTGGACACCATATTTTGATGGTAGGTGTGTTGTTTGATTGTCATTGTCTTTCACCTGGATTTTTACTTAGGGTTGGGCATTTACATACCACAACATGTTATTATGGGTATTAGTATTTTAAAAAGAAGTTATGTATGAATACTTAGTTTCTAGTGCAATTAGATGCGGCATAATTTTATGGTTCTTACTTTTTGCTGGCACTTTGTTTTTTAGACTGTCTCTTCTCCATGTGAATCACCAGAACGGCTTAAAATGCTAAAGTCAGAACTTGTATCTCTCTCAGAGAAGAGTGCTGAGTTACAGAAACAGATCAGAGAGCTCACGGAAAAGTTAAGGCTGGCTGAACAAGGAAAAGATCATGCTCAGAAGCAGGTGTTAGCTTTGGGTGAACAGCACAAGGCTGGGCCTTTTGGTACTGTAAAGGGTTTGAGAACCAATCCAACTATTATTCCTGATGAGTCTGTAAACCCAAGATTGGCAAAGATCTTGGAGGTGGTTGCAGTTCAGAAAGAGCTTATTGTTGCACTTGCAAATTCCAATGTTAAAGACATGTTGGAGGTTTGGTTCACTAACATCAAGAGAGCTGGTATACCCAATTACCTGGTTGTAGCATTAGATGATAAGATTCTAGATTTCTGCAAGTCGAATGATGTTCCAGTGTATAAGAGAGACCCAGATGAGGGTATTGATTCTGTTGCAAGAAGTGGAGGTAACCATGCTGTATCTGGATTGAAGTTTCGCATTTTGAGGGAATTTCTGCAGTTGGGTTACAGTGTTCTTCTTTCGGATGTTGATATTATCTACTTGCAGAACCCATTTGATCATCTTTATCGAGACTCTGATGTGGAGTCTATGACTGATGGTCACAATAATATGACAGCTTATGGATACAACGATGTATTTGATGAACCTGCCATGGGTTGGGCTCGTTATGCTCATACAATGAGGATATGGGTTTACAATTCTGGTTTCTTCTATATAAGGCCTACAATTCCATCTATTGAACTCTTGGACCGTGTAGCTGATCGGCTTTCTAGGCAATCAAATTCTTGGGATCAAGCAGTTTTCAATGAGGAACTCTTTTTCCCTTCCCATCCTGGCTATGATGGGCTTCATGCTTCCAAGAGAACTATGGATTTCTATTTATTCATGAACAGCAAAGTCCTCTTCAAAACAGTGAGGAAAGATGCTAAACTAAAGAAGTTAAAGCCAGTGATTGTTCATGTAAATTACCACCCAGATAAATTTCCAAGGATGAAAGCTGTTGTAGAATTCTACGTAAATGGCAAGCAAGATGCACTCGATCCATTTCCTGATGGTTCAGACTGGTAGAAATAGGAATACAGAAGATTTAGTTTTCACCCTTGCATGGGTTCTTCTACCCACTCGGTAAAGTTCACCGAATACAGGTAGTTTGTTTTGACTTTGTTATCTTTCTGAGCAATTTTTCCTCCCCTCTTCAATGTTCTCCACCTTTTTGCTTTTTTAATATCCATCTTGTACTAACATTATAAACTTGTGTCCAAAATTTTAATTTACTACGCAATAAGTTTCTTCTCAATCTTGTATGCCAACTACAAATCTTTTTTTTTTTTTTGTTGCAAGTTTTGTTACAGTTGGTGCTTTAAATTTTACAACCTATCATACGTCTAAGATTTAAATTACTGCAAAATGCATTTTTGGTAGCTCTTTTTTCTTTTTTTTCGGAGAGCACATTCTTGGTAGCTCGTTTACATGCCCTGCATATAATTCACTCACTTTAGAAATGAGGATGTTGATTTATTGATAACGATCAGGACTTCAAGTTACCTTAAAGATGGCCTTGAGGAGGATGTCATGCTTTGACTTCCGCAGTACTAGGAATTTTGTAATGGTGAATTAGATTTCAAAGTACACCAGAGATCTCTAGGTTTTGGGGTTTACTTACAAAATTTAATCCAGTTCTTGGGTTTGGAGGAAATATTATGATCCACCTCAATGGATTAACAATGCTGAAACAACCTTTGCAAAGATAGATCATTCTTTTTTCCAGAGAATGCATGACAAATTACTGTTAAAAAAAAAAAAAAAAAGAAAATTAGAAGAAGTTTTGAAGAAACTTTGAAGTAAATTATTAAATAAAGTTATTGATTTTTCAAAAATTTTAAGAAATTATCACCGAAAACATCAAAAAAAATTTTTCTTTCAATTTGAAGAACTAAGCAATTGTTGTTCCTTCCTATAGATGCTTTATATGATGCAATTGAAATCAGTAACTGTACAGTCGTAATTGGTAGGTTTTGTGGACATCAATCAGTTAACTTCATCCATCCTATGACTGTATACATCAATTTGGTATAGGAGAGAAAATTGGTGCTCTGTTTTATTTTTCTTCTGGATAAACTATGCCATTGAATTCTCCTTCTTCTTCCACCTTTTCGCGCACATCTATTGGCGTTATTTGGAGTTCATGCTATTAAATAGTTGATTAGATTTGGAGTTTGTTTCGTGAATAATTCATAACATGATTAAACTTTCTACAATCAGATTCAATATAATCTAAAGCGACTCATAAATAATGTCACTAATTTTTCTTATTTCCTTCAAAAAAATCATCTGACCTTGGTAAACAAAATAGAAATTTCTCAAACAACATTTTTCATCAATAAATATAGGCAGAGTTCATAAATTTGAAAGAACAAATTGCGTAAAATAAAGAATTCGTCAGGTGCCAAAAAGAAGAAAGAAACAGATTTCTCTGGTGGAGATGGTGATTATAATTTGGTAGTTTTGAAACTACATAAACTACAGAATTTAAACACAAAATTGTTAAATATATGTAGAGAGAAAAGACTGAAAAAGTAAAGGTCAGGATAAAATGGTGTCCCCATGGACTCTTCACAAACGTCTTTTCAGGGAATATATAAATAGGAACCAGTCAGTTGTCGTCTTTGTCCCGTTTGGGAAGAAAGAAACCAGACGGGAACAAAAATTATTTTGATGGGCAACAAACAACAGCCTGTCAACCCAAATGGAAAACGAACTTGAATCGGCTTTGTATCACAAATAATTCGAATTAATGGTCGCCATGGAAATTAGCTTCCGCTCCCGGACAAATTAGACCTTCTAATTGTGATTTTGGATTTTTTCATTCTTATCCACATAACCAGATCCTCAGTACCCGACTTTGTGGTTTCAAATCTCATAAACCCCTCCTTACCTATAACGGCTTAACCCCACACTGTCTCCTTCCTCTCATTCCTCAGGTCCATCGACGCCAAAACCTTCACGTCTCTGCATTTTGACTCAAACTTTCAAGATCGCTTAAGGAGCTTATATATTCCATAGCTTTCCCGCCAATTCTTTATTCAAAACGTTTGCACCCACTTCTGGCCTAACCATTTGGTTGAGGGAGCGCCGTGGACAGGTGGATTAACTTATAGGTTCTGTTCGAAATGGACGGATTCTCAGAAAGGGAAAGAGTTCTTTTGGGTTATACTCCCAAAAATCCTTTCGTAAGCTCGAGTTCTGCATCAAACACCGATCAGAGGAACTCGGATATTGATTTCGACGACGTGTTCGGAGGCCCGCCAAGGCGGTCGTCAGTTCAAGAGATGCGCTCCAGCTTCAGTGAAGCTGCAGATTCGTGTGGGTTAAGAGGTGAAAATGAAATGCGGTCGTCTCTTAATCCATGGACTGGGATCAGAGAGAAGCCAGTGTTTGGGGAAGAAGGGGCGAATCGGAGGCGTTACCCAAGTAAGGATTTCTTCGATGATATTTTCAGGGGCAATGAGTCTGTGAGTTCTTCGCCCAGAAAGCACGACAGGGACCCTTTCTCTTCATCTCCTGGCTCCAGGGTCTTAAGCCCTGCTCGTCCTCTGCCGCCTAAAGCTGAGCCATTTGAGACCTCTCTTCCTGCTCAATTCAGGTTTATGCTTTTTTTCCTTTGCTCTCTGCATGGTTTTCCGCTTGCATATTCAAGAAAATAGAGAATAAAGCAGCGTAATATAATTATTTATTCTTCTGAGTTAATATGATATATCATACTAGAATTAAAAATTTAAGCTTAAACTCCTTTAGTTTGTCTACATATGATTACTGACACGAGATTGGATTTGCCCAGTCAAAACTATCAACTTATTGTTATTCTTTTCTTTTTCACCTCCAGTTGATCAATTTTCTGCGTTGTTGAATTATGGTTTTGACTGGCAGGAATACGTAGATTTGGGTCTTGCCTAGTTTCTTCTTTGTCCACTGTCATGGTGATTGCTTCATGTTTAGTTAACTTGTTTGCTGTATTTGAATTTCTTTAAATGTTCTCCTTGTCGTCATGGTACACACTCCATGACTTACTTCTTTTGCTTGTAACTATTCAGCCTCCCCACCAAACTAACCAAAGGAGTTGAGCTTCCAACATTTGGCTCCGGTTCTCGTGGCAAGTATAAGAGCAAGGATGGATCTTCCAATGGTGCAAACTACTACTCATTCTCTCCTTTATCTAGATTCTCAATTCAACCAAAACAGAGCCAAGAGGTGACAAATGATATGGCTTCATCTCTCTACCAGAGCAACCTTTTGGAGGAGTTATCTATTGGCAATGAAGAACCATCAACGCTGGCCAGAAATGATGGAAAAGAAGCTGCACCTGATTTTAAAAAAAATTCCACGGACCAGGAAGTTTCAAACAATGGAAACCAATTTCACTTCTCAATATACAAATGGGCAAGCAGGGGAGCACCTGTAGCTATGCCTCTAAGGGGAGGGCTTAGTTCAAGATTTAAAGAAAAGGCTATGGAGAGATGCTCAAGCTCGAATGGAAGGATTGAGAGTGAAAATCTGATAGGGGGATCAGCAACAACAAAGGAGCATCATCCTAAGCTCTTCAGGATGGAACCTGAAGAACTAGCAAATAGGTCGTTTCTTGGTTCATGGAATCATAAGATCGAACCATGCGAGAGCAGTGAGGAAAAAATCCTTACTATCTCTAAATCAGGAACGTCGAGCAGCCACGACAGCACTGTGAAAAATCTTCCTGTTGATACTACTTCATGTCATAGAGGGGAAGAAATGAAACCTCATTCTCTTTCTGAAAGAGGTTTATCTGGTATACCTGAGAAAGAAATATTTGTGGTTGCATCAGAGGCTTGCAAACCTGAGTCGAACTCACTAAAGAAGCTGCTGGATAATGATGATGAACTAGGTGAGTAATGTTCCATGTAAAGCATGTCGATTATTGATGCTGTTTCTCATGTCATTTTAATTTCCTCTTTTGCAGGCAATGGCAAGATGACTAGTAAAAACACAAGGAAAGAAAGCAAAATGGAGACTGCCAAAAAGTCCTCCGTAGATCTTGATAGACGTAAAACAAAAAAGAAACTAGAAGGGAAAAAGGACTCTCCAGATAGTGGAGAAGTTGGCAAAGCTAGCTTCCGAGGTTCACCTATGAACTCAGGGGATCGTGCAAAGACCAGAAAGGGAAAGGTTAAGGAATTTGTTAAAATGTTTAATCAGGAAGTTTCACTGAATACTAAAGGTTTTGACCCTCAAAGTCGAAACGTTGGCGGGAAAGTGAGAGGCACTTCTGGAGGAGAGAATATAGATGATGCCAGCAAGACTAGAACAGAAGGGACAGCTCGTAATCCTAACGAGGAAACAGAGCCAATTTCAGATACTCCAGCCATGGTAATAAAGTTAGAATACTTTGTTGAAGGAAGCCAAACATTGATAACATTTATGATTTGGTAGCTTTTGGGTGCAAATTAATTCTATTTCCTGAAAAGTTTTGGTGAATATGACATTTTTGTTGGACTATTATAAGAAATATTTACGATCTTTCAGGTAGATGAGTATCCTCAACTCTTCAGGAAAGAGGATCCCGCCATAAAGAACACCAACCATATGTCTAATGGTATCTCTGGTAGAAAAAACAGCTCAGAATCTAGATCTGGTTGGTTCTATCTCCTCCTCAGTTTTCCTGGAGTTACTGGAACTAAAGTACATAATGGCTATCCAAATGATTAAACTATTGATGTCTGCATGTGCTATTCTCAGCATCAGTTCCTGATGGCTCCAAAATGTTTTCTGGAGATAATGATGACACTTTTCAAGTGAATTTCCTGGTATAAAATCTATCCTTTCTTTTTTCTCTTCACTGGTTGCTGATAAATAATGTCCAAATTATTTACACCATAGAAGAGTTTCACCATCTCCTAATGTGATTTATTTACTTACTGTTGGGGAATTTGTTTATGAATCCCGGGTAATTATTTGATGGTGCAGAGTAACTTATTGTTATAGGAACACCCTCCCCCTCAAAATGCCAATAATGTGTCTAGTTATGCATCACGTAACATTAGAAAGTGATATTCCTGCAGTGAATCGAACATTACTCGTATACAAGCATAAAGTTAGCTCCCTATTTTGTATACTATTTAAAAAAAAATTCATTTGCTGATGAATAGTATACTCTCTTTATGGACAGCTAAAAGAATTATCTCATGATGAGAATCAACTGCTACAAACCTGCACCTGCCCCGATGAGATTCAGGTACTGTAAGATTGCCATGCATGAAAGATATGTATATAAAATCCTACTTTCAATCATGCTGCAAAGCAATAACGCTTCATGTTCGAATAAAATAGGCAATTGATGCTAATATACGAAAGTGGTCAACTGGTAGGGAAGGAAACATCCGTTCCCTCTTGTCAACTTTGCAATATGTAAGTTTGATTGATTTTGTTATCCTCTTCAATTGCTACTCTTCTGTAATGGTTGCACCTGTTTCCTTATTTTGTTTTCTCCATCATCAGTTTCTTTCTTACATAATGATTATGTTAGTAACTAGTGAGATTGGGATAAGCTTTTCTCTTAAACTTTCAATGGTTTGCTTTGGTTCACAACTTTCAAGATTTTAATTATCCTGTTCGTCCTTGTTAAAAGCGGGAGCAGTGAGTGAGAACTCAGAGGAGGCTGGGAGAGACTCACATTGAACATGCCAATGCAATTATTTGCAAGAGCATAGTGAAATAAATTGTAATTGAAAAAGTTATTTTCTCAAGCCCCTCAGGGAACCTTTCAATAAAAATTAATGAGTTATTTATGCAGGTTCTTTGGCCTGAGAGCGGGTGGAAGCCTGTTCCACTTGTTGACATAATTGAAGCAAATGGAGTAAAGAAGTCTTATCAGAAAGCTCTACTCTGTCTTCACCCTGATAAGCTACAGCAGAAGGGTGCTGCTTCTCATCAGAAGTACATTGCAGAAAAACTTTTCGATATTTTGCAGGTAATGTGGACCTTTGCCTTAAATTTTATTAATAAAATGGTATTTGTTTACTTTGTTTCAATGTGATAATCATCGCTCAAAGAGCACTTCTATCATTCCTTGGCTATCAATTTTTCTGAGGTTGTCTGTAGTCAAGTTTAAGATATAGGTACTGATTGTAGGTCTTAATATAGTCAAGAGGCTCAGGAAGGCTGCTTTTTCGAATACTTCGATTGCAATTTTGGAAAATCAATATAAACAATTAGTGTTGTTAGGATGTGTGTGGTTCAAAGTCAATCGCTAGGTAATTTAACGAGGGATTGAATCCATTCAGTTGTGAATGAAAATATGAAAATTGTGATTC